ATTTCCCAAAGACCTATAATCTCTCAGAAGTGGCAAAAGAATTACATTTATTATTGGTTTTTGACTGAAACGCATCTATATGAGATACAGACATTTGACTATATTCTTCAACGAAATCAGCCTTAAACGAAATAGTCAGAAGTGAATTCTCCAAAAAGTCACTGGAATGTACATTTCTTATTTTGTCTACAAAAGTTGGCAAACTCCTTCACACATTGAATTTTTGGATGGCCATCCAAAACTGCTTGGCTTTTGCAATGTCCGGTAACCCCCATTCAAATGTGCATGAGGATCGGGCGATAATTACGACCTGCTGACAATTTTGCAGTTTTTGGGTCCATTTCAACCCCTAAATATATGGCGATCATCTCCAAAAAGAATAGGCTTTTATTCTGACCCTCATCTTATCTCCATTCAAAATTTCGTAAGCATCGGGCCATAAATGCGATCTGTATATGATATCCTGATATCCTAACTACTTAGTTGTGTTAGCTGTAGAAATATTACAAAATGTTGAATTTAAAATGAAAATATGCCAAAAATATGACAAAATTGAAAAAATATGAGAAAAGTTTACAAAATCAATATTTTCATCTTTAGAGAGAGATTATTTATGCGATTTTTTTTAGACGTTTTTTCTTTCCTGCCAAGAGGCCATTCTGAATTAATGAGAACTGTCGAAATCAGTTCAGCCGTTCTCGACATATAAGAGATCTTTCAAGCATATCTTCTTTGATAGAAATATATATCGCACATATTTTGCTATATATCCGTTTGTTGGATGTTAACATCAATGTAAAGATTAGAAGTAACCTTGTCATGGCTTTGTGATTTCGCCGGGATTTAAAATATTCGCGGTTTAATGAAAAATTTTGAAATTTTTCAACAATAAAGATATGGTCTATTTTACCCGCTAAATATTATCCGATGACCACCCAAATGGGTAGGCTTCTTCCCCGCCCTAAACTCTAGCTACATGCGAAATTCCGCGTCGATTGGGCTATAATTGCGTTCTGTAGAGCAAGTGCAAAATCAGGAATTTTTTCAGTTTTTGGTCCATTTCAAACCCCTAAATATTATGCGATCATCACCAAAAGAAATAGGGTTCTATTCTGACCCTAGCCCCACCTCCATTTTAAATTTCGTGAGGATCGGACCATAATTGCGACCTGTAGAGTGATTACAAATTAACATGGACAGACGGACAGACGGACGGACGGACATACATAGCTAGATCGACTCAGCTCGGCGAGATAGGAAGATCCATATATACTTTCCTATGGGGGAAATCAATATTTCGTGGTGTTACATAATTTTTGGCCCAATCAAACTATAATACCCCCAACACATAGTGTTGTAGGGTATAAAAAAAATGTTGTGGCAACACTTGATTGGTTTCTTCAGTTGGGAAACTATTATTTTAAATAAAAAAATAAAAAATGTCAATTTAATTGTGTATCTGTTATTAAATATTATGTCTTTGTGCATTTGTTTGTAACATAAAGAAGGAAGCGAGATAGACACATATTATTTTCGAAGATCTTCTTCTTCTTTCTGAGTCGTTTTACGCATGTCAGTCCGTATTTTTGTGAACAAAATGCAGGTCGCATTTATTATCCGAAAGAGATGAAATTTTGCAAATAATATTAGTTTGGCCAATGGATGAATCCTATTTGGAGAAGATCGGTTCAGATATAAACATAGCTCTCATATATATTTTTCATCCGATTTCGGATTTTAAGTCCCTAACATGCGTAATATGCACTACACAAGAATGATATTTGGTACCAGTTCAGATTAGGATATAGTTCCCATATATATCTTTATCGGGTTTATTGTGCACCAAATGGCTAACACCAGCCCAAATGACCTGAATTTCGGCAATTCCGACTGAATTAATCATAGAAACAAGTACTTCAAATTTGGTGAAAATCGGTTCAGATATAGCTATAGCCCCATAAATATGTTTTATCCTATTTTGTGTTAAAGTCCCTATGCACTCCACAACAATAATCTTTAGGACCAGGTATCAGATACAGCTCAGAAATTAGTGTTTAAAATTTTGTCTAGATCGGTTCAGATTTGGATATAACTCCCATATATATCTTGATCCGATTTCACTATTTTTGTACACCTAATATCAGCCCAAATGGACTGAATTTTGGCACTTACGACGGAATTCGGTCTAAAAGCAAGCGCTTCACATTTTGTAAAAATCGTTTCAGTTATAGATATAGCTCACATATGTATGTTTCATCCAACTTGGTGTAAAAGAACCTTACATGCGTAATATGCACTCCTCAACAATGATATTTGAAAACCGAGCATTAGATACCTTTGCCAAATTTTATCGAGACCGGTTCAGATTTTTATATAGCTTCGATACACGGCTGTAACATCTTCATCCGATGTTACGGTTATTGCTCGCCATATATGTAACACCATCCCAAATTGAATAGATTTTTTTATATTCAACAGAATTTTACCATTCGGTGAAACTAGGTCCAGTATATCCATCTTTTAATATAATCCTTATCGAAGTCATATCATGCACTATACAACAATGTTATTTGGATCATAGTTTGTATGATCCACTTCACTTAAATTCCCAATATAAACTTTTTTTGCAAAAAGTGCTCAATTTCATTATTGTAAGTTTAATAAAAATTACGTATATTTATATAACCCCAAAATTCAAACCACAATTTATAAAACCCAAAAGCCCAAAACATTTTCGGTTTATTTTGAGAATTTTTTAAGATCATTATATATCCTCGACCATATGCCAAGGGAACCCAATATTTAGAGATTTATTTCGCAAATATTTTCTATTGACTTTTCACAATTTATAGAGAGCCTCGAATTACTTCAAGAATCAATGGTTTAAAAAATGTCGGAAGTATAAATATATTTTGAAAAAGGCCAATAAAGCCCTATCATTATATAAATGTGTCTTCCAATCATAATCTACTTTAATATTCTATTGGATACTTGTTGTAATTATTGAAAAAAATGAAATTTGTCGCACAATGAAATAGGAGATATATGTGGAGTCGGGGTCATGTTTACTGTAACTTCTGCAAAAATGTTGGACTCTGCAATCCAGGTTGGAAAAATCATTCAATGATTTTATACTTTTCGTCGAATTGGGCTTGTTTTTATACCCTACAACACTATGTGTTGGGTATTATAAGTTAAGTATATGGATCTTCCCATCTCGCAGTGCTGAGTCGATCTTGCTATGTAAGTCCGTCCATCCCTCTGTCCATGTTAATTTGTAATTACGCTACAGATCGCAATTATGGTACGATCCTCACGAAATAAAAATAGAGTTGGGAATAGGGTCAGAATAGAAGCGTATTGTTTTTAGAGATGATTGCAAAATATTTAGGGGTTAAAATTGACCAAAAAATTCTTATTTTGCTGTTGCTCTACAGGCCACAATTATAAACCAACCGGATTTGCATGAATTTGGAGTTGAAGCCAATTTGTACAGTCATCGGAAAATATTTATTATTCAAATTTAGGGCTGGGTCGAAGCCAATTTGTACAGTCATCGGAAAATATTTATTATTCACGAAATGGAAAATGGAGTTGGGGGTAGGTTCAGAATAAAAGCGTATTGTTTTTAGAGATGATTTCAAAATATTTTGGGGTTAAAATTGACCAAAATTATTTTCTGATTTTGGTGTTGCTATACAGGCTACAATTATAAAGCAGCGGAATTTTGCATGAAGTTAGAGCTTAGAGCTGGGTCGAAGCCAATTTGTACAGTCATCGGAAAATATTTAGCGGGTAAAATAAAGTATAACTTTTATATCAGTGTAGGGTTTGGGTCAGAATCAAAGCCCATTGTTTTTGAAGATTTAGAGGTTTAAATGGACCAAAAAATTGTTCCTGAGTTTGCAGTCGCTCTACAGATCATAATTGAAAACCAATCGACGCGGAATTTTGTATCAGAAGAGAGTTAAGGACAGGGAAGAAGTCTAGCATTTTGGATGACCATCGGATTATATTTAGCTGTGAAATGGACCACAACATTCGTGTGAAGTGTGCTTAAATATTGGGCAAATGCCCCGTACAAAAAGATAAGGCTAATATCTGGGCGGGGCTCTATGACATCATTTCAAAAGCGAAATCTTCCAAATTCGATTGTTACATAAGGGGGCTTCATCATATTGTGATGTTGTAGGGTATCACATGGTCGGCCCCGCATGGCTATAGCCTTTGCTTACTTGTTTTATTTTTTTATTTTAAATGCTGCTGTTGCTGAGGGACTTTTTATAAAAGTGGATAGTAGCCTAAAATGTAAAAAGGCTGGGAAAAAAGCTATAATTTATAAACTAATCTTAAAAATCTTATATGGGGGGATATACGTAGACGTAGACCTGCACAGACAATTTTCTGTCACAGATTTTAGTATTTAGTATCAAATTTGAAACATTTCCGGTGAATAATCCTGCAGACGTAATATACTTTGTGGGTCTAAAATGTATATTTCAAGGTGTTATAAACTGAATGACAAACTTAATATACCCTCCATACTATGGTGGATGGATGGATGGATGATGGCTGGGAGAAAAAGCTACAATTTATAAATTAATCTCAAAATAATATGAATTGTGTTCACCGCGAAGATAGGCTTTGTAATTCAACTATTTGGCCTAGAAGACTTCTTTGGTTATTAATTAATGAAAACAAATAAAAAATATACCTGACTGAAAATCGTTCCATTCGGACAGAGGAAAGACGCCTTGCCGCCATTCAGATCACAATAGTGCCATACTTGGCAATTTGTTTCGGGATCTCCGAAAAATCCTTTGTACCGCTGTTGCGAACAGTCAAATGAAGTCTGAGGTATTTCAGCATAGTTTGGATAGTCAATGCCGGGTCTTCCAGTACTGGGTCCGGGATGTTTGTCTACAAAAACAAATAATAATAATAAGCGATACAAACATTATTGAAACCTTGAAGTTGTAGGCAAATTTCCGCCCTTACTTGGTGTATTGGCTGCTACTGGTATGGGGAGACGCACATCACCTTGTTGGTGCGGCAAATCCTGGTCCTGTTCCTCACTACCCGTTGCATAATCATAATCCGGCGAAATGGCCGGGGAACTCTCATGGTGCTGTGGTGGATTGGCCACAATCGTTTGGGTCTTCTTCAAATTGTTCAATATACGAATGAGGGTTTTGATGGAATTGTCAATGTTGTCCGGCGTCAAGGTATGCGGCAGGTGGTTGCTCTCTTGTAACTTGTGCAATATTTCTGCCAGTGAGGATGTGCGTATGTCGGGCAGCTCGTTTGGATCGGATAAAGTGTGTCGTTGTGGTGGGGTGGACTCCACCGTGGATGAGAGTTCGTTGTGTCCATGACCGGCGACCGGTGGTTGTGGCTGTAGGTGTTGCAGCTGGACGTGTGGCTGTTGTTTTGTAGGAATGTGATTATCGTTTTCATATTTTTGCACTGGTTTCAGTTTTATTGGTGGAGGGGTAGCTAGTTTCTGTCCAAATTCCTCTTTGACGTAAACATATTTGGGAGCAGAATCCACAATCATGGTATTTGGAGTTGTTGAGACTAGGGCAGGAGAAGGTCTTGCCGTTGGATTCGGTTGCCTAATGACTGGATAATTGACATTCTTCTCCTTGGTCACGGGCTGTAATTTGATATTCGGTTTATTTTTGTACAGAGGTCGAACGGTGGAGCCATAATTTTCTTGGATCACAGGCTGGTGGTATGTTGGGGGTGCTGCGGTTGTAACCACAACAAAGGCGTGAGTTGGTGGCCCCAGTGTGGGTTTTAGGGGCAACTGTGCCGCCGGTTGTCGGTACGACTCATTGTCGTGGTCTTCATCCAAGGATTGCTTCGGTTCATCTACAGGATAGTCGGCATATTGTGGCGTTGAAGGTCTGTTACAAAAGAGTTTCAAATCAAATAAATCAAAGTCATCTCACGAGGAGGCAATTGCTTAAAAAAATCTATGGTTGTCTTAAGAAACACTTTTGTGTGGTTGAAGAAAATGTGCTGGCGAGCAAAGTGAGGACACGGTTAGCATGGAATTTCCATGCTCTTAAATGAAGTTTGGTGCAGAGTTTCTCCTACTTACCCATTGAGTTTAGGATAATGAATACCCTGTGGTGGGGATGATGCAAAGTGGTGGTGATGATGTTGTTGATGATTGTTGTGCTGATTATTTCGTAAATCACTAAAGAGATTGTGAACTGGAATTGTAAGGATTTGTTCGCCGAGTGGCAGTTGTTGTTGTGACTGTGACTGTGTTTGGGGTGGGGTGGCCAATGCCGCGTTGTTTCGTATGTTGTGAGCAGATGGGTTATGTTCTGGCCTTGTATACAGGAGTGGTGATGTATGGCACTGGGTTGTTGTGGATATATTGCTGAGGAAAGAATTGGGGACAAGGTATTCAATGAAGCATCATTTGGTGACACAGTCGAGCTAAGAACAAATATGTGTGTTGGTGTTTGTTTGATGCGCTCACGATACTTGGGTTTGGTCAGGAGTTGATGTTGTCCTTGGTCCTGTTCCAATTGATGTGGTTGGTTCTTTGTTTGGGCGTACTTATCACTGGGACGTGGACGTTGCTAAAAATAAACGAAATATTTGGCTTGGGTCTTACTTTAGTAAATGCACTTGTCGCCTGCTGTACCTGTTCAGAGTGCTCCTGTTCTGATATGAAAAAATGCTCAGGTTTCGAAGGACGAAATTGTATAGTTTTTGTGTGATATTGTTGTTGGTTTTGTGGCTTGGATCCAATCAATGTTAACTGTTGCGAATGCTTTGGCGGTCGGGGTGAGCCATCAATAAGGACAATTTCGGGACTATGTTGTTGTTGTTGGGAATGGTCATAACTGGATGAAGGGCTACAATGATCAAGAATAAAATCGAATGAATGTGGTCATGAAAGTGACCAATGTTTTGATTTTGTAATAACACTCTTTGCTATTCACATATCTGCCAGAAATGTCCAAAGTGGCTGTGGCTATAAATGGAAATGCTTCAGTTTTCAAATGTTGTATAATAGGATTTTAGCTGCACATGCGAAACAAAACAATGGTTTACCGTAACAAAATGGTGGTGGACCGTGATTGGGACATGAATCCCAGAAGAATCGACGATGTCCGTCTGTTGAAATCACGTTAAAGTCCGAAATATTACACAAAGATTTTAGAAAATTTAGAAGGATGAAATTAGTAATATTATTATGGACGGAAAAATTAAATAACTTACTATTGCTATCGGGCTCAATCTCTACCTCCACACAAAGGGTTGAAATTCGAACTTTGCGAAATCTAATATTTGGCAGTTGGGCCATATTCGTTCACTTTCATAGGTAAGATCCCAACCAAATTTCATGTTATTAAAAAAATTATAAGTCTCTAATCATACACTCCTGATTTGTTTCAAAATTCTGGTACGGTCCAAACAAAGGGACGATGAATAATCGTAGCGCTTATAAAATCCGAAATAATTTAACGAAGATGGGTTATATCGATCCACTTCCTTAGTATATCGCAATATATTTGTCAGGCCTTTGTTAGGTGGGAAAATATCTAATATCCCAATAGCCCACTACTTCTGGTACCTCCTCCAGCTCGAATAAATATTTCATATTCACTAAGGGTGTAACCGATATAGTTCGAACTTTCTATAGCGTAGCATTTTGATAAAACAAACAAGAACTTTGAATACCCTCCACCATTTGGTACAAATTTAACAATTTATAAAAAAATAAAATCCGTTAAAAATTCTGTAAAAATCTTAAAAATACCGAATATAGCCGTATATTATGGTCTATACGACGACGTGGATCTGCAATGGCAACTTTTGTCACAAGCCATTACAATATTCAAATGCGAAACTTCAAAAAAAAAAAAAAAAAATCTGCTCATAATGTAGCTAAAATCATCAAAATACCGAATACAGGGAGGTACCATGGGGGTTATAAAACGGGGGTACAGTCCGTATGGGGGCTGTACGAAGACGTGGGCCTGCACAGACAATTTTCTGTCATAGGCTGTAGTATTCATTACGAACTTCAAATACAAAATTTGAAATAGTTCCGGAAAATAATGTCTCTAAAATCATCAGAATACCCAATATCGGAAGGTACCATTATATGGGGGCTATACGAAGACGTGGACCTACATGGCACATTTTCTGTCCTAGGATGTAATACCCATTACGAACTTCAAATACCAAAATTGAAACAATTTCGGTAAATAATGTCGCTAAAATCATCAAAATACCGAATATCAGGGGATACCGTTATATGGGGGCTATACGAAGACGTGGACCTACGTGGCCCATTTTCTGTCTTTAGCCGTAGTATCTATTACGAACTTTAAATATGAATTTTGAAACAATTCCGGTAAATAATGTCGCTAAAATCATCAAAATACCGCATATCGGGAGGTACCGTTATATGTGGGCCATACGAAGACGTGGATCTACATGGCCCATTTTCTGTTTTATGCTGTAGCATCTATTATGAACTTTAAATACCAATTTTGAAACAATTCCGGTAAATAAAAAAAAAAACATCAAAATATCTTTATATGAAGACGTGGAACTACATGGCCCATTTTCAATATCAAAAATTCTGCAGATATAATACACATTTGAGTAAAATTTTTTCAACCTACTTCATTTCGTGCGGAAGCTAGAGTAATTTCCACAGACGGACAGACGGACGGGCATTGATAAATCGACATAGAATTTTATGCTGATCAAGAATATTTATACTTTGTAGGGTCTAAAATGTCTATTTCGAGGTGTTACAAACGGAATGACAAACTTAATATAACCTCCATACAATGGTGGAGGGTATACAAATTAGATCAGGTGCGAAAATGGACAATATGGACAAATATACATACATTTATATACAGGCTGAGATAAAAAACTGCAACAAAGTCAAACGCCATAATTTTTACTTTTTTTTTTAATTTTATTGAATGAAAGCAAAAAATGTCGGAAATAGCATCAAATTTTAGAATAAGTTTAGATTTGTTCGAATTGGTCACCTTTGGCACGAATTATGGCCTTCAATATTTGCCGTGCTTTTCAGCCAAATATGAAGAAATCACACTATCACGCTTGAACTCCATCACGAATAACTTTTTTTCTGGAAAATTCTCACCAATATGTTTTTGTACGCTTTTAAACAATATAATGAGCTGTCACTGGAATAATTTTTACAGCTGTCGGACAGGTGGCTTAGAAATGACAGTAGTCTGAAGTTGGTTGTAGTTTTTTCATCTCAGCCTGTATATAAGCAAGTATGCAAAGGCTATGGTCGTGCCATTTTAGCAGATTTCGTTACACACAAATGAGTATTTGCCCTATATTTACGCTGTCTGTCGTGCTGATAGGTATTGAAAACAATTTCACACAAAAGTTGTGGTTTTTTTACTCTCTAAATATAATCCAATGGTCTTCCAAAACGGTACACTTCTGCCCTGTCCTAAACTCTAACCTAATACAAAATTCCGTGTCTACTGTTTTTAATTGTGACCTGTAGAGCGACGACAAAATCAGGAATTTTTTAAATTTTTGGGCCATTTGAACCCATAAACGTACATCTTCAAAAACAATAGGCTTTTATTCCGATCCTGAATAAAATATTGTTTATCGTAGTAAATACGTTTACATTCCTGCAGTTCTGGAACAGAGCATATGAGTTTAAAGTTTTTCTATACTGAATTTTCCAAAACTCTTTCTTACTCGTTTTTATCAAAGATCGAGAGCAGGGTCGACCGGAATAAGGGCAGACGTCAAAGCAAGTGAACATGCCAGAGAGAATATTTGTGTGAAAGTATGTGTGAATTGTTTAGCAATTCAAGGCGATTGAATACAAAAATCATACAAAAATCTTGTTCTTGCCCATGCAGTATCCATTCGGGAAAGGCCGAAAAACTTCGTCACCTACTTGGTGACGTCTGGTCGACCCAAGTCAAAGTCAAGTGATGACTACACTTACCCAATGGCTTGTATATCCTGATGTTGGGAGTTGCCTGTGTCTCTTCCAGACGACAACGGCGTTACACTAAAATATTGTCCCGGCTGTTTAGGATTTAGACGATGCTGGTGTGAGAAGGGCTGGAGGTGTTGCGTAGACGGTGACGGACGTTGGTGTTGGGTCACACCATCAATTGAAGCTGGATGCAATGGATCGGGGTATTCAATTGCAATTTGTTGTTGTTGCTTTCCACCTCCATTTGCTGTTGTTGTAGATAAGTCTGGTGGCGAATTATCGGTGTCGGTGGTGTGGGTGTCAGCCGCGGATGTAGCATGTGATGTTATGACTATGTTATGGTTGTTGTTACTGTTGCTGTTTACTGGCGTATAAACAATTGGCACAAAATTTCCCGGCACGGAATTGGCTGGTGTAAATGGTGTTAAATTGATTTTTGATTGTTTCGTTCGTGGACGATAAGCGACACTATGTTGTTGTTGCTGCTGTTGGTATCGTTGGTGTTTCAGCGAGGCAGATTCATATGTTGATGTCGACGATGAGGAGGTGGCTGGATGTGATGGCAGTGGTGGAAAATGCTGTACGGTTTTATGCTATACAAACGGTTTTATTGAAAGAAGTATTATTCTGAGAGAAAAAAATGTTCAAGGATAGAGTGTATTAGAGTGTCAAGAAATGAAATGAGTATAACAACCATCATTCCCGGTCAGAATTATTAATGCTGGTGAAGGGTATTTTTTGAGAATTCAATTGCTTAGAGTTGGCAAGTCAGAAGTTGTGCCATATCGTCGGTGTAATGCTAAAGTGTTCTATACGCCATTTTAGACTTTTTGAGATGTAGGTGATTTTTTAGGTTTTTTGAATTTTTGGTCAGTTTTCAGTCACCTGTCCAAATTCTAATGATAGCCACGTAAAGTATCGGTATTTGTGGATGGTTTTGTAGTTACATAAATAGCAATTTGAATTATGTTTTGTAGGAGAATTTTTGCAATTACTCGCTTGAAGTATGGCTTTAACCTAAAATATGTTTTTAATATTTAAGAAATACTGTCGTTGAGGTAACATTTAGAATTTTGATGACAAATAATTTTGTAAAATATTTTGACTTGTTTTGAAACCGTTTCAATTGAGTTTTTGAACATATTTGCAAATAAGAACCAAAAATATCAATTTGGTGATTTGTTTGAAGGTTAGAATTTTGGGCTAAAATATTCTTTTTATATCTAAAATATGTGTATGAAAATTTAAAAATATGTGGAAGAGAGGGTACATGCCTCTATTTAGGTTACTTCGCGATGTAAACTTTCAAAATGCCGCTATTACAAACGGAATGAAAAACTTAATATACCCTCCAACTATGGTGGAGGTTTATACCCTCCAACAAAGTATATATATGTTCTTGATCAGGATAAAATTCTATGTCGATTTAGCGATGTCCGTCCGTCTGTGGAAATCACTCTAGCTTCCGAACGAAATGAAGTAGGTTAATAAAATTTTTCTCAAATGTATATTGTGTCTGCAGGACTTTTGGTATTGAAAATGGGCCATGTGGGTCTACGTTTTGGTATGGCTCCCATATAACGGCACCTTCCGATATTCGGTATTCTAATGATTTTAGCGACATTATTCACCGGAATTGTTTCAAGTTTGGTACTTGAAGTTCGTATACTACAGCCTATGACAGAAGATTGTCTGTGCAGGTCCACATCTTCGTATAGACTTCATATAGCGGTACCTCCCGATATTCGGTATTTTGATAATTTTAGCGACATTATTCCCCGGAATTGTTACAAAATTGGTATTTAATGTTCGCAATGAATACTACAGCCTATAACAGAAAATTAAAGGTCTACGTCTTCGTATTGCCTCCATATAACGTTACCTCCCAATATTCGGGATTTTGATAATTTTAGCGTCATTAGTCATCGGAGTAGTTTGAAATGACGTATTTAGAGTTCCTAATGGGAACTACAGTCTGTGACAAAAAATTGTCTATGCAGGTCCAGGTCTTCGTCATATATCAGTACCTCCCTGTATTCGGTAGGTCATACATCAGTACCTCCCTATATTCGGTATTTTGACAATTTCAGGTATAATACTCACCGAAATGGTTTGAGATGTCACATTTGAAGTTCGTAATGAATGCTACAGTCTGTGACAAAAAATTATCTATGCAGGTCCAGGTCTTCGTATAGCTCCGATAAAACGGTACCTCCCTATGTGCGGTATTTTGATGATTTTAGCTACAATATTCAATGTGTCATTGCTAAAATATGACCTTAAGTGCTTGAAAAGGTTGTCGAAAATTGTACCTCCAGAATAGGCCCGACATTTTATTTAAATGTTCACTTACAAAAAATGTGTTTTATTTAAATTTCAAAACAGCAAGCTCTTAGAAAAACACCCTCAAGTTGTAGGTTTCTGACACAAATAGTGACAGATAATGCTGTAACAGTGATCATCCGTTCTATACTGCTAAATTTAGCAACCGACGTGCCGAGTTACAATAATTCAACAGTGGAAAACTCGGCGGTATCAGATAATTTGTCTAACCTTGCTCCTTACTTTGAGATATCTCGCCGAAAAAATAACCGAAAGTATTAATTAAATTAATTATTATTAATTAATTATTATTAAAGTAAAAAAGGACCTTTTCTTGTGATGTCAAGCAGGCCTGCTGCCTACATTCCCCGAGATTTGATGGCATTTGTCATGACTGTTTGGACACCCTAATACAAGCAACGCCTTGATTGTTGTTGTTATTATTATTTATTACATGAAATTTATATGAATTCCATAATCATTCTTCTTTCTCATCGATTTAATGCTACTTACCCGAATGGGATTTATCTTATTGCCAGTCAAGTTAATTCCAGCGGATGGTGCCGAAGGGCCGGGCGATCCCGCAGAAAGTAACTGCTGTCCAGGGTATTTGTGGTTAGCGCCATTATCGATGTGTTTTATAGCTGTTGGTACCAGTTGATATGGCTGCTCTTGGTGAGGTGTGCCCCCAACACCACCACCACCGTATACTGCCAGCCCATGATAGGCATCGCCTGAACCGGCCTGATAATGTGGAGCAGCTGTTGGAGATTGTAAATATGACGCAGCTTCCGGCCCCGAATATGTTTTCATGTTAACATATTGCGGTGGCAGGGGAATGTGCGACCCTGAAGATGTGCCTGTTCCACTGAGTCGTGGTCCATTTTTTGTCTGCTATGAAAATGACAAGGAAACGAAAGACAAACAAATAAAAAGAAGTTGGCACTCGGTTAAGGGGCTCATTGAAATCATTGAAAATGATAGTCTTACCGTTGGTATTGCAGCATACTGCTGGTTAATGGGCAGATCTTGGACGGGCACATAAAAGGCCATGTACGGAATTAAACGTCTTGTACGTTCCGATGCACTAAGCTCCGAGTCCCCGGTAGACAAGGTGACATTCTCTTCAATATTGCTGGATTTATATTGCACTTCATGGATGGCAGATGTATCCGTTTCATTTTCGTTGGTGCTTTTTGCATCAACAGTTATGCACCTGACACCACGAAATAAGGCTGAAATGAAGTTGAAATATCCCAATTCATTAATAAGTTCTATATGTATGCATGGTATATTGTACCATGAATGTATGTATTTGTGATGAAATTTCAATTTTCGATTTTAATGTTTATTAAAAATAAGCGGGTGGTGTTTTACAAGTTGTTCTGGAACACTTTCTAATGCGACCCAAGGCCTATATCAGTTGTTGGATTCTGTAACGCATTTTTTGAGTTATCGACAAATATCGGGAAATTTGAAAAACAAAATTATCAATGAAAAGTCTACATTGAAGTTATCACAACTATTGCTGTGGGTAGGACTTAGAGATTACTTTATTTTTGTAATAACCGAAATTACAATAATTTTAATTTTGCCGACTTTTGACAGCATTTTTTAAATTTTAAATAACAATTATGTATTTTTACAGAAAACTTAGTTGTCCGCTGTGTTGATGGTCTACATAAGGTCGGCCCGTAAGCCCATCTGACAGCCAAGACATATTATAATTTGAAATTTAAAGTGATTTAAATCGCAATAGTGCAAAAACTACTAAGTTTATTGTCAGATGTGGTCTCCTTGGCCTTATATAGGTTTTGGCTGGCTTTACTGGCCGACCTTATATAGGTCATGATGCGGCCCATGCACTATCTGGGCATGCAAGACAGCAGATGAAAATATTCAATTCTTAAATTTACTCAGTTTTCATGCCTTACTTTTACTACGCCCCTGTGGTGTCAAATTTTGAACATGTAAATATATTTATTTTTAAATTCCAATTTCAATTTTTCCTTCAATTCGTACTCTTTTCATTTCCATCTCTGTCATTGCAAATTGTACAGCTTTTAGGAGTTCTTTGTTTCGGGCATAAATTCCAAACATCCGAAAATCTCTAGATACAATTGACCAAAATTCCATCATCAGCACCATTGAACCCAAAGAATTATGTCAAAATTTTCAACAGCCTCTAGTCGCCAGCTGAGTACTCGAAACTCGGACATTGATGCTCTGGCACAGCGGGGCTACAACATTGGCCATAAAATTGGAGAAGGTTCCTATGCCACGGTAATAACGGCTGGCTATGCAGATAGCACGGGACAGGGCTTGCACTTGGCGTGCAAGATAATCGACAAGGGAAAGGCGCCTTCAGACTTTGTGCATAAATTCTTTCCACGCGAATTGGAAATTCTAACGAAAATTGACCATCCAAACATTATTCAAATCCATAGTATTCTACAACGTGGTTCGAAAATTTTCATCTTCATGCGGTATGCTGAGAACGGTGATTTGTTGAGCTACATCAAGAAGTCAGGTCCCGTGGAGGAACTGCAAGCCAAGGCCTGGTTTATGCAGATGGCAAAAGCTGTCAAGTATTTGCACTCTCACGACATTGCCCATCGAGACCTCAAATGTGAGAATATTCTGCTGTCGAAGCGTCTCAATGTAAAGTTAGCTGACTTTGGGTTTGCTCGGTATTGTCGTGACGAGAATGGTCGTGATATAAAATCGGAAACCTATTGTGGCTCGGCAGCCTATGCAGCGCCCGAAGTTGTCTCTGGTCGTCCCTACGATCCCAAGTTGGCCGATGCATGGTCCCTAGGGGTTATTCTCTTTATAATGCTGAATGCGAAAATGCCATTTGATGATCACAATCTCACCAAGCTACTCGAAGACCAGCGCAATAAAAAATACACATTTCGTCGTAAGCTGCAAGATCAAATCTCAGCGCAGGCTAAGGCTACAGTGGCAGTTCTATTGGAGCCAGAGCCCCAGGCTCGTTGGGACTTGCGTGAAATTCTCAATTGTAGTTGGGTTCGCAACGACGAAGAGGAGGATACTCTAAGGACTTAGTTATTCTTTACCGAATGAAACTAAACAAAAATAATTCATTGATTAAATAAAACTTTCCTTTTCATTTAATTTTTTGTCACTGTTGAATTGTGGTGTTCCTTAATATTACTGTTACCCCCCGACCTGGGGATGGTGGTCTGTAACACATCGAATTAATGGATGTAGACGCACCGACATAATAACTAAAATTAACGCAACGTTTGTGTTTGTTCATCTAAACCATGAAACAGCGGTAGTAGTTGGGACCGATGTTGGTGTTTCTGTCCAGGTGATGTCTATTCATTTTGCTCATGAACGGCTATTGTTTAGGGGACAATATCGGCAAACAAGAGTAAGAATACAGGGTGAGATGAAAAAACTGCAACCAACTTCAGACTGCTGTCATTTCCAAGCCACTCGTCCGACAGCTGTTAAAATTAGTCCAGTGACAGGTTTACAAGCGTACAAAAGCATTTTGGTGAGAATTTTTCAGAAAAAAAGTTATTCGTGATGGAATTCAAGCGTGATAGTGTGATTTCAGCAGGAATGTTTCGAAAAGTAAAGAAGCGACTTGATCGAAACCCGCGTCGCAGTGGCCGAAAAATGGCTCGTATGCTGAACATATCGCAATATTCCATTCGGCAAAAATTGAAAAATGAGCTCGGGGTAAAGCCATTGAAATTCCAAAAAGTGCAAGAACTTAGACCGCAACAGAAAGAGGATTGACTCAAAAGAGCTAAAGAGTTGCTTCCCTTGGACGAAAATGGTGAACTGCCGAATTTGGTTTTCTCCGATAAGAAAACATTCGTTGTCCAGCAGTTTGTAAACAAACAAAATGATCGTGTTTACCTGCCAAAGAGGTCAGCTGAAAATGTGCACCTTCGATTGGCCACCAGAACTCAAGCGCTGGCCATGGTGATGGTGTGGGCCGCCATAACAGCCGATGGTCGCTCTCTGCTCGTATTAATCGACCGTGACATCAGAATAAATGCCGAATATTATCGCGAAAATATTCTGGAGGGTGAATTAAAGCCTTGTGCACGCCAACATTTTGGCCGCATACCTTGGACATTCCAACAGGACTCAGCACCATCGCACTCAGCACGCGCCACCCAGGAATGGTTAAAAAATGAAGTTCCTCACTTCATTTCCAGCGTACAATGGCCACCAAAATCTCTGGATGCCAATCCGTTGGGCTATTGGGTCTGGAGTATTTTGGAAAGCAAGATTGGCACTAAAAAATACCAAAGTGTCGATCATCTCAAGCAAACGCTTCGCCGGGAAGTGGCCAAAATACCGCAGAGTAACATTTGGGCAGTTAAAGTTTGATGCTATTTTCGAAATTTTTTTGCTATGGGCTATATTGGGCCATGTTTAGGTAATTGGACCCGATTTTCGGCAATTTTGTAGGTTTCTGCCACAATAATTAAAATATGGATTTCGATTATTCTAATTAAAACGGATTGATATTTTCTCTGTTCCAGAATCTGAGAGATTCTACTAGTTTTGTAATGGTTTTCATTATCATAAAGGGAAAATTGGTTATCGTAGTAAAAACTTTTACATTCCTGCAGTTGTGGAACAGACCATCATTCTAAAGATTCCACGTCGATCGGTGTGACAGGCATATTATCTATTTGTGACCTGTAACATTAAAAATTATAATGGACTGACGGACGGACACACATAGCTATATCGTCGAGATATCATGATCGGTATAGTCGTTGCAAAATTCTGGCTCTAATCGAACCATCATACCTTCTCCACAAAGTTGTATAGGATAAAAATACCTCTGTAAAGTTTCACCTAACTTCCTTTGGTCCCAGCAAATGCTCGATTGCTTTATGGGTGCTATCTATGCAACATTGACAAAGTTAGCAAAATATTAAACAAATAGGTTATTCCAGCTTGTTGCATCGATTTAGATTTCATTGTTGGCTTTTTTGATACTTTACAACATAGATGCCCAATGTAGTAGTATTGGTGAGAGCGACGAAATAACACTGGAAGAAAAGATTTTTCTATTCATTTTATTTAGTCGTCAACGAGATAGCGACGAGAGCACATGTGTGGCGGGTGTCGTCATTTTTTTTTCTTTTTCTATATATATATATATATATATATATATATATATATATATATATATATATATATATATATATATATATATATATATATATATATATATATATATATATATATATATATATATATATATATATATATATATATAATATATATATATATATATATATATATATATATATATATATATATATATATATATATATATATATACGTACGTTAGTAAGAAACTAATTTAAGGACATTCAAAAGGCTGCTCAAGAATTTTGCATAAAATTTTGACAAGAAGAAGAAGAAGAAAAAATCGTGCGAACGGGTTTGGGTGGGTGTCGAATATATATATATATATATATATATATATATATATATATATATATATATATATATATATATCTATATATATATATATATATATATATATATATATATATATATATATATATATATATATATATATATATATATGGTTTTTTTTAGAAATATTTAATCACTATTCAATTTGCAATTAAAAAGTAATGAATAAATTTTTTTCAAAAACTTGACACAATATATTTTTGACAAACGGCCCATCTGAAAATGGCCTTCCCTTTTTTATAATATATAAACTTATTAAGTTAGATAAACCCATTTTTATATTCTCCTCCACCATATCTTCATCATTATCTCTATATTGATTTACCCATTCCTTCAACTTTTTTATAAAAAGTTTCTTATACATTTTAAATTGTTTTTCTTTTTCTTCCCCCTGCAAACAATTCATGTCTTTATGAACAGTTTTTTTTAAATTATATTTCTTTTTAATATTTTTTTATTTTAATGTCTTATAACATATAACACATTGCATATCATCAAAAGCATTTTGTAGCATAAAATACTTTTCAAAAGACATCATTGACATATCGCAATAATTTTCAGTTTATGTGTTCACTAACGCCAGTCTCGATTACGATTAAATGTAAATATTACACAAAACTTCTGCCTGTGTAGCTTATCTCTCCCACTCATATTTCTGCTTTCTTATTGGTTGATTGGCGATCAAACAAAAGAGCGTAAGAATACGTGTGAGTTGAAATTGCTGAAATCAGCCACTACTGGGCATCTATGCTTTACAAGGAACAGTTGAATCAATTATAGCCATTGGATGGGATGTCTTTACAAACAGTTTTCATCATTTAGAGAGTCGTGCCATTAGAGATAAAATACACACACACACACACACAAAACCACATATATGGCATGACATACGGCAGCCGACATATGTGTGTGTGTGTCAGCCACAAAGCAATCACTACACTCCTATGCTGTGCAGCTAATTTTGTGCTTCGAATTAAAATAATTCTTTATTGAAATAATATTGAAATCGTGGCATGCTGCTGCCATTATGCCACTCATCGTCTTACCGTCTTTCGTACCGTACCGTTGCGTACTGCTGTTGCTGTTATGGCATTGGCTGCTTCTGCTCGTTTACCTTGAGGCACTCAACGCTGCCTAATGAAGTCACCTTCATTGCAGGATATTTAAACACCGGAAGCAAATTAATGAGCAACACGCACAAGGCAAAAAATTAGCTTAACAACATAAGTCTGATGTTGTTGCTGTTGTTTGTTTATGCTACTACTGCCACCAACCAGGCCGTTGCAACTTGGAAATCTCCATGAGAATGGGTGGCGGGAATAATTGTCATTGAAATATGAATGCCAGAGAAGACTCCAAATTACTTTCGAGAAACACTTTGTCCGGAAAGAGAAACTTTGGTATCACTATTTGCATTATCCTCTAAAGTATATTTAAATATTTATGACATGTATTTTTCGTTTTCAATTATTGTGTGTTGACTCAATAACGAAAACACTGAGCGAAATACGATGGTTGAATTCGGGGAACGTCATTATGCTACTTCATATACAAAATATCTTATGTAAAAATACCGAATATTGGGAAGTACCGTATACAAGATATAAAAAACTGCAACAAAGTCAAACGCCATAATTGAATGAATGCAAATAAATATAAATAAAATAAAGAGTGCAATAAATAGAAAGGAGGACAAAGATAATACAAATGCAATATACACGATAGCAATTTTGTAGTCGTATTCCAACAATCTGTGCACCTAAGCAACACCTGCGATATTTATAATAATTTATTTATATAATTATTTTTACATTTATTTATTAGTTTAATTGTTGTGTTTGTGAAAAACCCTTCGCTTAACGAAATCTAAATGTAGAAACTTGAAAAAATTATTTGTAAGTATTACTTTACTTATTGCTAGGAACAAGAATATAATATAAACTTAAATAAATATTTCACCACTTTGGTTGTCGTTGCCAGATTTAATAACAATATCCCTGAAGAAGTTGGAAAATCCCAACGAAACGTCGGATGAAACATTAAATAAATAGTTTTTATTTTCATTAAATAAAATCCAGACCTAAAAGTCCAATAAGACAAAGTCGTAGATCATTCATAAAACACAAAGAGGTCGAAAAAACATAATCCATTAAAGCAAAATATATCGGAAATAACATCAAACTTGAGAATAAGTTTAGATTTGGTTGAATTGGTCACCTTTAGCACGAATTATGGCCTTCAAACGGCCAATGAAACCGTCACACGCTGCCGAATGTTGCTCTGCGGTATTTTGGCCCATTCCCGGCGAAGCGCTTGTTTGAGGTGATCGGCACTTTGGTATTTTTTAGTGCCAACCTTGCTTTCCAAAATACTCCAGACGCAATAGTCCAACGGATTGGTATCCGGAGATTTTTTGGTGACCATGGAGCGCTGGAAATGAAACGAGGAACCTCACTTTGTAACCATTCTTGTAACCGTTCTTGGGTGCTGAGTGCGATGGTGTTGAGTCCTGTTGGAATGTCCAAGGTCTGCGGCAAAAAGGTTTGCGTGCCCAAGGCTTTAATACACCCTCCAGAATATTTCTGTTGCGGTGTAAGTTCTTGCAATTTTGGAATTTCAATGTCTTTACCCCGAACTCATTTTTCAATATTTGCCGAATGGAATATTGCGATATGTTCAGTCGCTTCTTTACTTTTCGAACCATTTCTGCTGATGTTGCTGCTTTCTTCCATCTACTTCCTTGACGTCGGGCTACGCTACCAGTAACTAATTCAATTTTATTTTGTTGGGTTACAAACGCCTTTTATACTAAATTTGGCCTGCTTTTGGGATATATCTAGTACATTTCTATCAGTGTACATTTTTTCAGCAACAGTTGCAGCCGCCGTACTTCGTTCTATGAAATGTCTACGGTCGTTTCTATGTCTAAGCAGTCATAAGGTATTGTTCCCATGTGTTGCATATCCAAAAGTACACAAGTTTTACTCTAATACACCATTTAATTATTTCCATAGCTTCGACACCCACCCAAACCCGTTCGCACGATTTTTTCTTCTTCTTCTTCTTGACAAAATTTTATGCAAAATTCTTGAGCAGCCTTTTTGAATGTCCTTAAATTAGTTTCTTACTAACGTATGCGTGTGTGTGTACCTTTATCTCCTGTGGAATGAGCAACGATTCATTTCATAGCCGAGCAGTATTTGCTCTGTAAATTGTTGCAGATTATAAAGTTGCATATTTGGAAATGTCTTTAATTCCATTAAATATGATGGCATTTATAACAGTTATGGTGATTGTGGTCTCAAACTTGTTCCTGTCCTGCTTCACGTCCAAGACGGTATGTTAAGACATTGGAGCAATAGTACCTCATAGTTGTTTGTCCGTTGTGTACATAAATCATCGGCCACAATGTCCATGTGTTGGAGTGTAATAAAATTGCCAAGGAAGGAATTATTAATAATTTCCATTTGTATTGCTATATCGGTTTTAGAGTGCAAAGGAACGCTTTATTGCAAGCTAACTTTTAAAAGTGCATTAAAAAACCGCAGCAACTCAATTGAGTGTGGTAATTCATAATATTCAACACTGTGAAGTTTTGAAGAGTGTGTGCAATAAACCAACATCAATGTACTTAGGAATTATATATTGTATTGGGTAAAATGGGGTAAAATGTCTAGGTCCGTTAAGATAAATTCGAAATTTAACTTGCAGAATCACGAATCCCCTGTAATTATACTTTACTTAAAAAAACATCAATTGACTTACTTGCTCTAGTTCCCGTAGCAAGAATTAATTGTGATAGATAAATTTAATTAAAAACAAGTAAGCAAAGGCTATAGCCGTGCGGGGTCGACCATGTGATACCCTACAACACTACAATATGTTAGAAGCCCCCTTATTTATGTACAAAACAATTTTGGAAGATTTCGCTTTTGAAATTATCTCACGGAGCACTGCCCAGATATTACCCTTAGCATTTTGACCAGGGACGTTTTTCCGATATCTACACACTCCGCCGTGCTGTTAGTTTCCTTAACTCCCTTCTCAGACGTGTCGATTGGCTTTAATTGTGTGATAAGAAAATTTCTTCTGTTATTGGTTCATTTGAACCCCTAAATATTTGCGATTATCTCCAAAAGCAAGAGGCCCCTCTGCATCTCCAAATTAAGACTCATCTATATGATTTGCTTGTCTACGATATTTGGCTAAATTCGTCAACGAAATCAGCATTTAAAGTTTGCCTTTTGTGTATTTCGGATATTGCCTCTAAGTAATGCTGGTATTTTTAACACAAAAGTAGTAGTCTATTCTACACGCTGTCCTAAACTCTAATTTGATGCGAGATTTCGTGTCCTTTGGTTTCTATTTATTTATAACGGCTGCTAAATTAGGAACATTTTTAGTTGTTGGTCCATTCCAATCCCGAAATAAAATGCGGGCATCTTTGAAAATAATAAGCTTAGCCCTTCTGAGCCTAACCCTAATTGCAATCTGTATATAACTTCAACATGTGTTGTAAGGTGAAAAAATATCACAAATATACACTTCAATATTAAGTCAAATTGAAAAAATCCCATGCGATAAAAATATGAAAAAATAGATTTTTGGTCCAATGAAACTTATAATGCCCCCAACACATTGTGTTGTAGGGTATAAATAATAGCCCTTCAGAAATATATAGGTTCGCTAGTCTATATGTTAGCTAATACTTAATAAGTTCGCAAAAAAAAAAAAATAAATAAATAAATCAACAAAGTAATGTTGACAAATTACATCTAATTGAACTCGAAGCTCCTTCGTAATGCCAACTGAACAAATTATTTCAGTTGATACAATAGCACGGATTCCCTTATGCAGAAAAAAACCTTAACTAATTCTGTTTTTAGCATATTCCCCACTTTGACGTGGAATAGTTTATGAACATGGACGGAATTTGTGAAAAGGTTTCAAAAAAAATTTTGACACAAAATTGATTTTGGAAAATTGAGAGTACTATTGCAAACACATATGATATAATAAGATGGGACATTACACTTTCACTTTTCATCGATATATGGCGTTGGTCGTGGAAAAATATGTCATAGCATTATGTTAAATTTAACAGAGCTGACACATTTTAAGGGATGTTGTTGATTTTTATCGATTCAATGTACAAGGAAATGCTCTGGAATAGATTTTTGAGAGCATGTCTATCATTTTTTCGCGTATTTGCGCCATTTTTCGGCGATATCGAATAACGTATTTTTCTAAAATTTCCAATGCATTTCTGTTATATCGCCTGCCATCTATTGCCTGATTCAAAAATTAAAGTCTATATGCATTTGTCCAGTCTTTATAGTTTTATGTCTTTGACTATTGTATTAAATGTACAAATTCGGGAAAAGCGTCCTGGCTTACAACGAAATTACAATTACAAGAAGAAAACTGTTTTAATCAAGGTATAGAATTGTTAGAAAAGCGTTGGCCTAAGTGTATTGAAGTTTCAGGAGATTATATTGAAAAATATAAATATTTTTTAAAAACTAACTATTCTCTTTCATTGATAGGCTAAGAAGTTTCCGAAACGCCCTCGTACTCTGTGGAATGGGTATTATAAGTTTGTTTGGTCCAGGAGTCTGTAACACCTCGTAATATTGGTCTAAGACCCATCCTCATATCCCGACGAGCTGTGTACTTCCAGCTTTATGTTCCTGTTCATTCATGTTAATTTGTAACCGCTTTACAGGTCCCAATTGTGGCCCATTCGAGTTAAGGCCAGAGTCAGAATAGTGTTTAGGGGATGCAATGGATAACACTGATTTTTCCTGATTAAGCAGTTGCTCTACAGGTCAGAATTATAGACGAATCGAAACGGTAGAGAGGACGTCAAACATTTTAGATTGTCGTCGGATAATTTTTATTAACTACACCACAAGGTGGCCAGGGTATTATGTATTTGTGTATTTGTTTGTAACAGGCAAAAGTAAACGAGATAGACCCATAGTTCCTCTTGATGATCTGCATAGAAGCACATTCTGAGTCGATTTATGCATGACCGTCCGTCTGTCCATGTATTTTTCTAAACAAAGTCCAGGTCGTATTTATTGTTCGATCCAGATGAAAATTTGCAAGGACGAATCCTATTGAAACCAAACCACCAAACGTGTGATAACATCCCAAATAGTATTGAATTTTACACATATGACGAAATTAAGCCTGAAAATAACTTTGCCAAATTTTATCGAAATCAGTACAGATATAACTAAAACTCCCATATATATTGTTCGTCTGATTTGTTATTTTTGTCCTCCGCAGTAATATGCACTCTGTAACAACGATATTCAGGGAAATTTATTAAATACAGCTCAGAAATGCCTTCGCTAAATTTCATCGAGATCGATTGAGATTTGAATATAGCTCCCATATATATCATCGTCTGATTTGCCTTTTATTGTGCACCAAACGTGCACAAATATTAGCCCACATGGGGTGGAATTTGGCACTTAGTACCAAATTGGGTCTAGAAACGAGCATGTTAAATTTGGTGAAAATCTGTGCAGATATAGCTATAGCTTCTATATCATCCGATTTCTTGAATTTGTTCACTCGGTAGTAACGATATTGGGGGACATATCTCAAATACAGCTCAGAAATACCTTTGCCAAATACTTATCGAGATCGATTAAGATTTCGATATACTTCCCATATATATCTTTATCCGATTTCAAGTTAATTGTGCACCAAATGGGTTATACAAGCCCGAATTGAAAAGGCAAAAGGAGGATATTCCTCTCATATATTAGTTCCTTTAGACTTCAAACATAATCATAGTTTGTATCATGGCTCAATAAGAAAGGTTGTTCCACTTTGAAAAAACTAGAAAAATGTAATTATATGCTGGAGTCTTAAAGTGTCAGATAGACTTTTAAATATGCAACAGTAGTCGTTGTTTATTTTTATTTATTTTTTTTTAAATTCTTATATTGGGAAAACCCTGCGAAACAAGAATGAAATTTAGGGGTTATTCCACAAGATTGAATTTAAAATAGTTGGACAATACAGTTATATCACTAAATTTTACAATCTGTTACCCATTTCGTCGAAAACTTGCATTTCTTTTGCATTTTTATTTAAAACAATACACACATACACCAAATGAGTGTATGTTTTGACAGAATAAGGGCACAAAAAGAAAATAATTGTACTTAGGGCGTAGCTTTGTTCTACCGTCTGTAATTATGCCATGGTTGGTATGACTTAATTCTCACAAATTCCCCATAAAAACTTTTATTTGTTATGTGAAGTTCTCCTAAATATGCTAAGTGGTGTAGGGTATCATAAAGTCGGCCCCGCCCGACTGGTTAAATGATGAAATAGACGGTAAAAGTAGCTTTCTACCGAAATTAGAAATAAATGATTAGTTGAACAATATTTTCAAATATCGAAGATATAGCAAAATGTACATAATTTAAATTTTTAAATGTTGCTTTTAGTTTTCATTAGCACTTTAGAAGGCGTAAAAATAGGTTAATTTTTCACACACTTGGAATCCGCGCATTTTTTGTTAATGTTTGTTGAATAATTGTAACCCTCAAGCGAGTCAATAAAGGGATCTTGTTGGTCCTTTCAAAATATGGTTAATAACTAAAAAATTGTTCGTCAAAATAGTTTTACTATAGGTCCCAGAAGATGTCAAAAGTCTAAATCTTCTTCAGTCAGGATATTCATATATATTAAAAACTCAGTTTAAGGCTAAAGCCTTACTTTATGTGAGTTTATGCAGAATGCTCGTACAAAACGTCATTCTAAAAGGATAACATCAAAGGCAAAATTATTCCTTGTCATATATCACTATAAGGCCCAATAGAAAGAGAAATCGAAAATCATAAAACATATGATCTTCGCCTTAACAAGGCAAAACTCAAAAATTCAGCCGAGCCTGGCTGTGGGATTTGAACCGCGGACCTCGGTGTGCAGCCAACTAGAAGTTGCCGTCTCTACGTTCAGAGCCATTAACCCGTCTTCCTAAAGCAGCACAAAAACAAGTGTATGCATTGGAAGCAATGTAGTTGTTGTGGACAAAAAATCCATCACTACAAAAACAAAAAAAAACTTTGCTGTGAAAAAGATCTGCCAATAGAACTTGAGTCGAACCTGGAGAGTTTCTAGTGTATAATTCGCATATGCTAATTTGCAATAAGTTCGAAATATATACTACTTTCCAGAGAACGGCCCTTGTAAGCCATCATCCACACCAAATATGCCTGATGAGCCGCTTAACCAACGGCGAAACGCGTCGCATAGTGGTGAGTGTGTGATAGTGTCTATCTGGCTTTCCTTTTCACTGCAAATTTCAGA